AAGCTTGTTCTAAGTAGGTGCTTTAGACCACTGAGCCATCTCTCCAGCCCCTCAATAACAAAATTGAAAGAGATCAAGAAAGTAGTAATAGCTATGAAACAAAATATGATGAAAATTACAAAACCCTGGAGCGAGAAGATGGCTCAGTAGAATAAGTGCTTGCCTGGCAAGCACAAGGGGGCCTGAGTTCAACCCCCAGTTCCACCAAAAAATAAAAACCAACTTCAAATTATAAAACCCTAGTGAAAGAAATTGTAGATAACCAAAAAGACAAAACAAAGCAAAAAAAAGGAAAGTCATTCAGTGTTTATGGATTGGAAGAATTAATGTTACTAAAATGCTGCTAATACCCAAAGCAAACTACAAATTCAGTCATTTTTCTCAGAATACTAATCATATTCACAGAAATATTAGATAATACTCTTACAATTTGGAGTCCAGAAAGAGCCTAGATAGCCAATAAGCCAATGCAGTCTTCAGCAAAAGGAATAAAGCTGGTGGGATAACCATTATTGACTTCAAAAGATAGTAGATAGTTAGACTGGGAATGGTGGTGCATGCCTGTAATCCTAGTGCTTGGGAGGCTGAAAACAGGAGGATCACTATCTGGAGATCACTGATCTGTGTAGTGATACCCTGTAGACCCTATACGAAAGACATGAAAAAAAACAAAAAGTAGATAGTGATAGTAAGCAAAACATCATGGTGTACGGGCATAAAAACAGACACATAGACCAGTGAAACACATAACCTAGAGACAGAGTCAAGTATAATCAGCCAGCTGATGTTTGAAAAGGGCATCAAGAACATACTTTGGAGAAAGGACAGTGTCACGGATTGTGTCTAGCTTTGTCCCTTAAACCTCATGTGGTCACAGGAAGGACCATTGGAAGGTAATGAAGGTGATGGGTTTATATGAGCATTACAGCTGACTGCTGTTATGGGGCAGAGGATGTTTGGAAGAGGCCAGCTACTGGCAGCCTTGCCGGGGAAGCTTTATCTCCATCCCCAGCTCCACTCCTCACGTTCTCTGCTTCCTGGCAGCCACTGCTCTTCTGCCATGCTCTTTTCTTCTGTGTAGCCAGCCAACCTGGGACTGAAACTGAGCCAAAGTAAACTTCCCCTCCTTTAAGCTGTGAGTGTTGGGTATTTCGTCCCAGCAATGAGGAAAGTGACCAAGATAGTCTCTCCAATAAATAGTACTAGGAAACTGTCTATCTGCAGAGGACTAGAACTAAACCCCTATCTCTTACCATGTAGGAAATCATCTCAAGAAAGATCTTTGGGACCAGGGCTACAGCTCAGGGGCAGGGCACCTTCCTGGCAAACATGCGGTCCTAAGTTCAATTCCTAGTTCCACCAAAAAAAGAAAAAGTTCATATACTTAAATGTAAGACCCTAAATTATAAAAACTATTAGAAGAAAACAGGAGAAATGCTCCAGGACAGTGTGGTGGTAAAAGATTTTTTGATTAAGACTATATAAAAGAATAAGCAATAAAGTAAATATTAACAATGAAATTAACATCAAACTAAAAAGCTGTTGCATAGCATAGGGAATTACAGACTGAAGAGAAAACCTACGGAATAAGAGAAAATAGATGCAAACTGTTCATCTAACAATATCCAGAATATCTAAGAAACTAAAACAAGCAAAAACAAAAAACATGCAAACGAAAAATCCTCAAGTAATCTGATTTTAAAATGATCTGAGTGGACATTTTGAAAACAAGATATACAGATGACCAATAGCTACATGAAATAATGTTTGCCATCCCTAATTCTCAGAGAAATACAAATCAAAACCCAAACTGAAATATCATCATACCTCATTTAGAATGACTATTAGCAAAGAGATAAATAACAAATACTGCTAAGGACATTGAAACCTTTCATACATTGTTGGTGGAAATATTAATTACTGTACCATTATGGAAAACAGTATGGTGTTTTCCTCAAAACTCCATAGATGAAAACTAGATAAGAGAACTGCTGTATGATCTAGCAGTTCCACAGATATATACTCAAAAGAAGATAAAATCAGTTTGTAAAAGAATCATCTGAATTCACAAGTTTATTGCAGCACTATTTATAATAGGTAAGATACGGAATCAATCTGGATGTCAATTGATGGATGAATGGATAGTGTATTATATATAATGGGATTTTTTTTTTTTTTAAGTAAGATTCTACAGGGTCTCACTACATAGATCGTAGACCAGACTGTAGTGATTTTCTTGTTTACAGCCTCCCAGAGCTAGGATTACAGGTGTGCGCCACCACACCCAGTCTCAACGGCCCTCTCAGCAGGCCCTGGGGGCAGAGCTGGTGGGGCAAGCCAGAGGTCGAACTCTGGCCTCTGCATCTGCCTAAGCAGGCACTTTAATCCGCTGAGCTATTTGGCCAGCTCTTATAATGGGATATTAATTATAAAAATTTAAGTTCTGTCATTTGCTACAACATAGATGAAAATGTAGAAGGTTATGTTAGACATAAGTTTGGCACAGAAATATCAGTACTGTATGTTATCACTTGTATGTGGACACTAAAATGTTGGTCTGGTTATCAGAATAGAATACTGGCTATCAGAGTTTGGGAAGGGCATGGGGAGGAAGGGATAGGGAGAGGGTGATGAGTGGGTACAGAGGTGCAGTTTAATAGGAGGGATAATCTCCAATATTTTTAAAACAGCAGAATAAAAAAGACAGCTAGCGATTATATATTTGAAAATAGCTAGTAGACAGTGTTCTCCAGGGCAGCATGTATCTGCAGTGAGGTGTGTGCCAGCCTGATCAGATCATTGCACATGGGTACATGTATTTAAGTGCCACGTGAGTGTGTGCTGCTGTGTGTCAATTGAAAGTAGAAATATATTTTAGAAAAGTGATACAGATAAAAGCTCAGCTTTTGGTTTTTTAGTAATGTGCCTGCTCTGAACTCAGAATAATAGTATTTAAATACAGAAATTAAGATGATCATTTCTAATTTGAATTTTACAAAGCTGAAAATGATTCTACATGTTAAAGTGCTTAATACATTTATTTTCTCAGTACCTTCTCATGTAATTGTATAATTAAAAAGACTTATACCAGGTGCAGAACAGAATTTGTAACTGATTTAGTGCAGTGCTAAGATTCTACCATGTAAACGTTGACATTATACAGAAATGCTTGACCTCTACCTTCTGTTCCTAGCACACAGCGTAGTACCTATGCACTTTAGGTATATGTTACAGGATAACTGGCTACCCTATACTTCAAAGTTAATGTTTACCTATAAAAATATATAGTTGTTTAGATTTTTTAAAAATAGAATAATCAAGAAAAAGTTAATTTCAATTTCATAATTCAGTGAATTACCACTGTTAACATATGCTTGTTTGCTTGCTTGCCTTTCTTTTCTTTCCTTTCTTTTTTTTCTTTCATTCATTCATTCATTCATTCTTTCTTTCATTCTGTATCTCTTTGCTTCAACACCCCCCAAACTTTTATATACTATATATTCTGCTCTTTATGTTTCACAATATGTTGAGTAAAAGCTTGAGTAATTTTATTTTGAGTAGCTAAATAATAAACCTATATTTATTTATGTCACCACATCTCTCTTTACACACTTAGGTTCTTTCTAATGTTTTGCTGTTTTATAATGCTGTGGTAAACATTACTTATCCTTAAAGTTTGACACACAATCATGATACATTACATAGAATAAAATCAAAGCCAGGGTTTCTTTTTAATTTAAGCATTTCTTCCTATCATGCCGTTTGCAAACAGTATGTTTTCATTTTGACAGGACTCAACTGGAAGTTTCGTTTTACCTTTCCGACAAGTCATGTATGCTCCATACCCCACCACGCACATAGATGTGGATGTCAATACTGTCAAGCAGATGCCGCCCTGTCACGAACATATTTATAATCAGCGGAGATACATGAGGTCAGAGCTCTCGGCATTTTGGAGAGCCACTTCAGAAGAAGACATGGCTCAGGACACCATCATCTACACCGATGAAAGCTTCACTCCGGATTTGTAAGTGATTCTCTGACTGTTGATGTCACTGTCACACGATATGAAACTGAATCTTTGATGAGTAAAAGCAGAACAAGTTCTATTTAAAGCACAAAAAAATCAGTATAAAAGTACTTGAGGAAAAATTTAATCCATCTTTTCTTAAATGTGTTTTAAATATAATGGTGTTTTTCCAAAAGTAGGGTAAAACTCACCTTTAAATATTAGTTTTTAAAAATCTATTGAGCTTCTAGGCGCTATACTAAATGCTCGGATGAATACTGATTAATCAGATAGTCCTATACCCTATATTGTCTGTAGTCTAGTTTTATTAAAACTAAAGTAATTCTGAATCTTATTCTTCTTGTGTATAAAAATAAAATGCATTATTGGTAACTAAAATTATTTTTAAAAGGTTAAAATATAAAATAACTTGAGGGCCCAGTGGTAGAGTCCTTTAGTGTGGCTATGTCTGGTGCTGAATATCTAGCACTATTGCCTATGCTATGCTATTGAAATGTACTTATTAATAGAAAGCATTCTTTTTCTTTTTTTCTTTTTTGGTGGAACCAGGGATTGAACTCAGGCCCTTGTGCTTGCCGGAGAAGCGCTTATTCCACTGAGCCATCTCACAGCCCCTAGAAAACATTCTTTTATTTTGCATTCTGTATTTGATTACACATTTCTGGCTATGAAGTATGATTGGATACTAAAGAGTGATGATAATTAAATGTTGATTGTTGGAACAGTTAAGGAAAAATGATGATACATTTATAATCAAAAAACTTCAATAAATTTCTTCATTGATATTCTGAAGTCAAAAAAAGGATTATAGGGGGCTGGTGAGATGGCTCAGTGGTCTAAAGCACCTACTTAGAAAAAGCTTAGCAAAGCACAGGGACTGCGGTTCAGTCCCCAGCACCACATGCCAGCCAGCCCCGCCCCCTGGTGGGCTGAGCTGGCCACACACACATACACACACACACACACACACACACACACACACACACACACACAAATAATAAATAAAATAAATAAATTAAAAAAAAAAAAGGATTATATATATGAAAGAATGCTCCACATCACTAGCCATCTGTGAAATGCAAATTAAAACAACACTGAGATACCATCTCACCCCAGAAAGAATGGCTATCATAAAGAAATCAACCAAAACAAATGTTGCAGAGGCTTTGGGGAAAAGGGAACCCTTCTTCCCTGCTGGTGGGAATGTAGACTGACTGGTGTAATCATTATGGAAATCATTGTGGAGACTCCTTAGGAAACTAGGACTGGAAATCCCATTCAAACCAGCTATCCCCCTACTGGGAATTTTCCCAGAGGAACTGAAAACATCATATCATAGTGATATATGTGTACCTACGTTTATAGCAGCACAATTTGTGGTAGCCAAATCTTGGAAACAACCAAGATGCCCATCACATGAAGAATGGTTGAAAGAGATGTAATATTTTTATACAATGGAGTATTACTCAGCTATAAAGAATGATAAACTTGAAGACTTTATATTTAAGGGGATGCCACTTGAAGATATACTCATAAGTGAAATAAACCACACACACATGTGTAAATATTGTATAATCTCCCTAGTATAAGAACTCAAAAGAAGAAATACAAATAGAAAGATATAACACAATTAAAAGGAAAGCAAGAACTTAAGGATTAGACAACGAGGTGAAGGCAAGGAGAAAAGCTGGGAAACAGGACAGGGGCAAAGCCATACATTTATACACACAAGATGGACAAGGCAATGATCCTGAGAAACATCAGCAGGTTTTTGAAACTAGCAGTTAATTGGTAGGATTCTGACCCTGACTGACTATACATGCTCAAACCTGTGAACAAAGCAACTGCACTGAAGATAGCAATGTGTAATAGAAGGGTCACTCTTGGAATATCTGTCATTCTGGTCTTCTAAATACGTACTTCTTGTCATGACATACCAATTATTACCATACTATCTCACAAGTAAAAGTTTTTTTTTTTTTTAAAAATGGGTAGTAAATGAAAAAAAGATACAAGAAAAAGAAAAAAAAGTCATAGGACTGTCCTGCTACAATGCTGTATATGGTTAGATTTCTAAATTTCTGTGTAAAAATATGTAATTGTTTATTCATATTCTTTAAATATTTTTCATGTTTTAAATTTTTATCTCCATATTCTATAGGGAATTAAAGCTCAACATATTAATACTTGATGGAAAACACCTGTTCCATGTTATGTCTAAGATGTTTGATATTCAGACAGATAGTGAATTTAAACCCAACTGCATAAGATGTAGGGTAATAATAAGTTTCTCTTCTGGAGGGTTAACAGCCTACATTTGCAGACCAAAAATTAGAGAAATAGAAGGGCTGCAAGGACAGCCAACATTTTGACCCTAGCCTTTCAAGGTCAGTGAAGACTCATGACATAGGAGAACCTATATTGTAACATCATGTAACTCAATTGTGTCCCAAATTTTCTGATCAAGGAAATTATGGGACCACAAAGGAAAGTCATTGATGATGTAGAGTGTGCCTAAGGAGAGTCACATGGAGAGAAAACATTCTCTCAGGCTTTCACAGAGAGCAATTTGGTCAAGCAATGGCCGTGACTCATCCATATGGCTGACACTGACAAAGGATCTGCAAACGCGGTGCAGGGTCACAGGATAAATCCTAAGGGTACTTGATTGACCTTATCAGTCACAGAAGTTACATTTCTTGTTATATAGTTCTTGCTTTATCTTGGTCTTAACCATCCAGCAGAAAAGTATAAAAATAAGGTATGTAAAATAAAGCCATGTTAATATGCTGAGCTCTGAAAGACTCAAGTCAGCAACTTCTGTGGGTAACCCAATACTATTATGAACTGCTGGACTGTGTTGTTTTGCTGAATTCACGCACCTATAATATTCAGATGCCAACAGAATTCCCATTTCTGACAGGACTAAACAAAAGCAGTACAAAGGAAGGACCATTTTGTATCTGTATATGTGGAATAGTTAGGATAGATATACAGCTACTTTCACTTAATTCAGTGAGAAGAAAGATTTGTACTAATAGTGTTTGCATAGGATATTCTGTCTGCGTCTTGTACTATGCATAACCACTAAGAAGATAACAGTGTACAAAGTATTAATTATTGAAACTGTCCTATTAATCAGTTTTCAAACTCATTGATATTTGTTTCTCAATAAAATAAAAATTTAAAAAAGAATTATAATACACTACTAGATTTCTCTGGAATAAATTAGAAGTACTTGAACCTAGTGCCGGCACATGGAATGTACTCAAAAAATATTAATTGCAGTAATACATCATTTGACTTGGTCCAAGAAACCCTTCCTTGTGTTTTTAAGAAACAATTTTGAAAGAAGCCAGAGTGGTCATCGCCCACAGTTCCCTCATGGCAGTTCAGGTTACTTCTTCAGAGGGGGGAGTGTTGCAGACAGCCGAGTTAGACATAAATATTATAGGCAGTCAGACAGGGCCAGGCCCTCAAGAAGACAAGATGGAAGACAAGGTGACTTTGCAACTTGGAAGAGACAGACACTCCCATATCCATACCTCAAGACCAAGACAAAAAGAGGAAGCACAGCTACATACTTCCCTAGGGATGGGCATTAGGAATTGTTATCCTAAATAGTATCAATCAACTTGAAAGAGCCCAAATGAGTCAGTAGCCCAACCCCCAACAGGAAGAGACCCTGTTCTGTATTCGTGCCTGCTTGCTATGTGACTCGCTTTCCCATTTGATACTGGATTTAATCAATTTTACCTGAGCAGTGGTGCTTGTAATCTCATTGGTTGACCATAGTTTTGTCCCACCTCATGCCCAACTAAGCGAGTTCCCATGTCTTCACCACCTTAGACCCACTTCACCACATGGTTTTCCTCTATAAAAGTCCCTGCAAGAGACAACTTCCTTGGGGGGAACTATCTGTTCGGGCACCCCCCCTCCTGTCCCTCTCTTGGGACAGGAGCTTTCTTTCTCTCAATAAATATATTCTGCTCATAAAAAAAAAAAAAAAGAAACAATTTTGATTTGTGGCAACAGACATGAAGAGTACCAATAGCCACAGTAAAATGTTGATCAGAAGAACAAGATCAGAACACTACAGGCTGGGGAGATAGCTCAGCAGTGTAAGCTGCCTGGCAAGTGCAAGGACTCTGGTTCAATCCCCAATGCTGCATACTGTGCCAGCCCTGAACCCTGGGCACACCGTGTATGCTGACCACTGAAACTGGGCATGGTGGCACACACCTATAATCCCAGTCAGTGTCTGGGAGGCTGAGACAGGAGGATCATTAGGAGTCCAAGCTGTGTAGCAAGACCCTGTACCAAATAAATAAGTAGAAGGTTTAAAAATTTTTTTTAAAAAGAATATTATGACCCAGATATCCTGCAGCATATGTACGTAGATAAGGAAAAGGTGATTTAAAGCCCATCTTTCCTTGTTGCCCCACTATTCTGATTGATTGCTTAGAAAGTTTTACAGTAATTACTTCACAAAATGAATTAGTCAAGTTGGAATTTCAGTCACTTGAATTTTCACATATTGGTAATACTGATACATACGTAGACAGCTTCACCTTTCCTGAAGTACTTAGCATTTTTGTTGTTTTATTTTGTTTTTTGCTCTTTTGAGGGAATTTAGTGAAATTTAGAATGGATTTTTAACCATTTAGAAGTTTTGTTTTGTTACATAGCTATATTTGCTTTGCCAATTTGGCAAACCATGATTAATCCAGTTTTTCTGATCCTGACAACATGTCATAAATTCTAAAATTTAGCTTCGAACTCTAAGTAAATGTTAGCATAAAATTGTCAGAAGTATTTTCAGCTAAAAGATGTGTTCACTTTTGTTTATCATATTCTCATTTGATAATTGTGTGTGTGTTTTAGACAATATTAATCACTTCTAATTTTTTTGTGTTGGGGGAATGGGGCTTACTTTTGCAGCCCAGAACAGCCAGTGCTGGCTGGACACAGACACACTAAAGTACTCTATCCCCCGGACACGCCCCAGCCCCTTACATCGTCTTTAATTTTAACCTTTTAAAAATAATCTCAGGGGGCTGGTGAAATGGCTCAGTGGTCTAAAACACCTACATAGAACAAGCTTAGCAAAGCACAGGGACCGCGGTTCAATCCTCCAAAACCACATGCCGGTCAGCCCCGCCCCCTGGTGGGCTGAGCTGGCCACACACACACACACACAAATAAACAAACAAAAAAAATAAAAAATAAAAAAAAAAAATAAAAAAATAATCTCAGTCACCAGCAGTGCATGAAAATTTAGTCACTTGAATTACTCTCCACACTTTGCTTCGTCCGGCTCTCTTCTGATCAGGATATGCGTGCAGGGCAATAGAGCCAGCACACTGGGCTTACCAGCTGCAGCCACTCTGCAGGGCTGAGAAGTGGCGCTGTCTGTGCCTGGCCAGTAATTGGAAAATGCTGCTGTTTTTTTCCTCTTCTCAATTTTCTCCTATGGAGCTGGCCAAATAGTTCAGCAGATTAAAGAGCTTGCAAGCAGGCACAGGGCCCAGGGCCCAGGGCCCAGGGGTTCGCCCCTGGGACACACTGAGAAGGTAATTGAGACTGATCATGGTGGTGCACATGTAATCCCAGCTCTTGGAAGGCTGTAAACAGGCGGATCACTACGAGTCCGATCTAATAGTGAGACCCTGAACAACCTGTAAACCCTTCCCTAAGATACAAAAACAAAAAAAAATCAATCAATTTTCTCCTATAGTTTAGTGTACTCATCTCGGAAGACTGTGAAATTGCAGGTTGCTTTCATACTTCCACACACCCAACCTCTTTCTCTGCCACACCTGTGAGTTAATTTGATCTCTAGTAGTTTTGTTTTGTTTGTTTGTTTGCTGTAGCGGTGATTAAACTCAGTACCCTGTGCTTACCAGGCAAGCATTTATTCTACTGAGCTATCTCCCTGGCCCCTGACCTCTAGTGTTATTAAGCCTTTTAATTTAGCAATCACATGCCTTAGTGAATGTTATGTTATCCTCTAACCTGAGTATAACCTACAGAAGGTAAAAGAAAAATGATGAAAGAAGGGCAGGTTTTGAGAAGGAAGCAGTTGTGTTGTTTGTTGAGCACCTGCTGTATCCTCAGTGCAGTGTTAGATAAAGATTGTCACACATAAGCATTGTGCCTTCTCACTGTTCATCACTGAGGTAGGTAGCACCTTTGTAGGTTACCAGATCATGTTACATGCACATGCATGTACCCGCTATCATCTCGATATATTTCTTAGCCCCAATTACATGTTCTCAACATTTGTTCTTGGTTTGTTTAAAGTTGGTTATACTATAATGTTTGTTTGTTTGTTTGTTTGTTTGGCGGAACTGGGGATTGAACTCAGGCCCTAGCACTTCCTTGGCCATCTCCCCGGCCCCTATACTATAGTATTGTGTTTTTGTTGGCTTTTATTTTTTGAGATGACAAGAATTGGTGATTATATCATTAGTTGCCTAAGACTCTCAACATTATTTTATGTACATGTATATTTGGTACCCAGTCCCTGCTCTTTCCTAAGTAGGCGCTTAGTCCTCTGAGCTATCTCACTAGCCCTCTCCGCATTATTTTAACAATAGTTCCAAGACTGATATGTACATACCCTTCCTGGGCATGAATAAAACAACTTTTAGCCTGACAAACACCGATAATATACAAATATATCTTGTATTCAAAGTGAAGATTTTCATACATCTGTATCTACTGGGGGCTGCGTCCAGAGCTCCATGGGTAACTAAGCTGTACCCCAGATACCTGTCGTCTACCTCCAGATATATGTATCTACATTCGTATGGGTTTGTGTGTAATACCTTATTGATAAGAATTTGACTTATTGAAAACATAGGATTGTAGAGAGCAGCACTGTAGAATCATTTTAACACTTGGGCTTTTTTCTTTTCCATCTAGGAATATTTTCCAAGATGTCTTACACAGAGACACTCTAGTAAAAGCCTTCCTGGATCAGGTAATCTTAAAACCAGACATTGTCAGAATAAATAATCTGACAGGTGTTCTTTAAACATACTGGAGGGGCTGGGGAGATAGCTCAGTGGAATAAGTGCTTTCCTGGGCGGTACAGAGACCTGAGTACAATCCCTGGTACCACCAAAAAAACAAAAACACTGCAGAGCATTTACAAAGCATGCACAAGTACCTGGGTTCATCTGTACCACAAAAAAAAGGAGTTCTACAATGCCTGCACTATAGATCCTACACTATGTACATATCACATAGAATTAAATCTTTATTTCTTTTAGTGCCTATGGTCTTTTGAAACCTTCTAAAGGATATTTTAAAAATTATTTCTGGGGGGGTGCCTGGCCTTAGCTCAGTTGTTTAAGTGGCTGCTTCCACAAAGCTGTCAGCCTCAGGTTGCTGTAGTTCGATCCCCACAACACTCCAGCCAGCCAAACGACCACTGAGGGCATTCAGAGCAAA